GGGAAGACCGTCGAAGCCGGGTGTGCCGCGGCAACCGAGGCCGGGAGGACCGCGAGCGTTGAAGCCAGGAAGGCCGCCGAAGCCGGGAGGGCCACGGTCATTGAAGCCAGGCTGGCCATGGCCACCGAGGTTAAGTGGACCACGGCCACCAAAGCCGGGTGGACCACGGCCACCAAAGCCGGGTGGACCACGGCCACCGAGGCCTAGAGGGCAATCAAAGCCAGGAGGGCCACCGAAACTTGGACGACCACCGAGGCCGGGAGGGCCGCCAAAACCGGGACGACCTCCGAGGCCGGGAGGGCCGCCGAAGCCCGGGCGACCACCGAAGCCGGGAGGTCCACCAAAGCCGGGGCGCCCACCAAAACCGGGTGGGCCGAAGTCATCGAAATTGTCTTCAAAGAGCGGGCCAAACTCATCCTCGTCGTCATCCTCGTAGGGACTGAAGCCGGGAGGGTATCTATTGCGATACATGGTTGGATTGGGAGAGAGATCTGTGGTAGTGTTTGTGGGATAGATGGTTGAGGAGAAGATGGAAGGCAGAGTAAGAGTGTGGATTGGTGGGAGGAAGGGGAGCCTGGATTCTGCCTTTTAAACTGCCGTTTGAGGGAATGAGGTGCGGTGTGACTCCAATCATAAGTTTGAATGACTCTCCGCGCAGTCACGAGCTATAAAACGAGTCTATAGAGCTCAAGCGTTTGAAAGCTGAGTGCATGTGATTCGATATCCGTGAATGACCATATCGGATCAGTAGGATTTACCGATGTCTCCAAAAACCTCTGAATGACCAAAACCATGGGGAGGCAGGATACCCATTGCCGGGATCTTCTACTCGGGGAATGAGGTCTGGACCGTCAGTACGGCAGCATGCTGTTTGAGGAGAGAATGCATTCAAATGAGAATTGTCACATCCAAAGCATCTCTGACTAGCTGCTTCAATCCCATTTATTGGGAGTGGCCCTGTACAGGTGCAATGGCATCAGTGTTAACAGAATGTTTGAAATCGATAACGAGAAGATAGAGAGTCAGAGACTCTCGCAAAATGGTTAAGCGCCCAGCAGACTGCCAGCAGTCAATCGAAGGAGAATCACAGTCACCAGTTCAACTGGGAAGTTGATAAGGATGGCGGTTGAAGCTTCATCCTGGCTGGTATCTTGAAGCATATGCAGTCTAACTATAAGGCCCGTCTAGACTAGTTTCCATTTGCCTGGCAGCACTTCCACCGTGCTCACTCGCCGCTCCGTTGGTCATCGCTTCGCAGCTTGGATCGCATCCATCGCCCTAGTTTTGTTAGCTAACTGGCGTTGCTCTTAGGGCCTAGCTATGCTTACCGGTCACTCTTCTCCTCTTTATTCTTCTCCTGCTGGCGCTGGCTCCACCACTTGCACTCAGTACACGGCAGCGGCACCTCCCCGGGCCTGTGCCCGTTTCAACAGCCGAGCTTGCTGCCGGGCTGGTTGCAAATGTGGTCGAGGCCGTAAAAGCGGTGTTCGCAGGAGAATACGTAGGCAACGTATTTGCAAATTGTTCTTGCGAGGGCGTGTTGGTGCAAGGTGTGGATGAGCTGGGTTGTTGTAGATGTTGTTGAGGTTGGAGAGTAAGTTTTGTTGAAGCTTTGCGGACGTGTTGTTGTTTTCGTAAGTAATGGTGAGCTCCTGCGGCTGGCCTTGGAGTATACTGTGTAGATATATCTTGACGAGGAGGACGTGTTGGCGGCAGCCTTGGGGCTCCGCCGTGGACGTGCATCGTATTATAGGCCTGACTAATGGTACAAAGCCCCTTGAAGGTATACACCACTCGCACGGACTATGCTCCGCAGTTCTTATGGTTAAACGATTAGTATGGTTGGTTGGGCCAGGCCGGCAAAAGATAGGTATTTGCTCCGAATGCCTGAGATATACCTCCCTTTTATTGCCGCCTACTACAAGACTTTGTCAAGTTTGCCGTCTTCTGTTTGGAAGCAAGCAAGGGGAGGTATCTCAAACACATACGCGATGCCCAATGTCCTCCTTGGCTCTCTCCTCTTGTCATATGTCATGCCTCTAGGGTGTGCCTTCCTGTGCTGGCAATGCACCTTCCTGACATATCAATATGGTCATATATGCCTTGGTGTCTCATTGCCTTATGTGCCCATATCACCATAGTGCGATGTCGCTCCTGGTGTGATATTAAGGAGTGGTATGTCGACCTTAAGACTAACATCAGATATAGTTACCCGGCTCTTCAGTATGATTACCCGATCTTTGGAGTGGGACTACCCGGTCCTTGGATTGGGACTGCCCGGTGGTTGTGTAGAACTACCTGGTTCTAGGAATGTGATTACACTGTTGTCGGAGTTTTATTACCCGGATCCAGAGGTATCACCATAGATTTCCGTCTGCGAGACGCCTCCTCCGGCTACAAAAGAGTATGGAACCCCAATATCATACAGGCAACCTCAGAACTTCAGAAAAGGGGGAAGCGAGCCCTGAGCCGTAGCACATTTGCACATAACATCAAAATGGGTGAACCTTTTTATCATTACGAGCTGCCTATCTACCTCGACAACTGTAATCTCAGTAGATCAAACATCCCCGTTGATCAGAGCGAGATCATGAGCTCGCTAGATCCAGAAATACCCTGGTGGAGGTGGGGGGATGAACATGCCGGGCGGTATCCCCGGAGGAGGATGGAGAGGGAGCAACATACCTGGGGGCATCCCGGGAGGAGGAGGGAAGAACATACCTGGCGGCGGTCCACCCATCCCCGGCGGCCCGCCCATACCCGGAGGACCACCCATTCCTGGCGGCCCGCCCATACCCGGCGATCCGCCCATACCCGGAGGACCACCCATACCCGGCGGCCCGCCCATGCCCGGAGTGCCACCCATGCCCGGCGGCCCGCCCATGCCGGGTGGGCCACCCATACCAGGCGGCCCGCCCATGTCCGGCGGACCACCCATGCCTAGCCAATCCACCATACCTAGAGGGGGAGGGGCGGGAACTAAAATAGGACCTTCAGGGCTAAACACCCAAACGAGACCCCCTGGAAACGGAGGAGGCTGACCTGCCATGTTAGAGCGTACTTGGTTTTGATTTTGAGGGAGAGTTTGACAAAGGTGAGATGTGGATGGAGTTCGGACGATTTCGCAGTGTTGATGGCTGTGGAAATGAGAAGGAAGGCAGAGATGATTCCTTTTATATGCCTGATTTAGTGAAAGATTAGTGGTGAGGCTGTGAACAGATGGGACAGTGAACATCCCGTGATGATTGGGCTTGGTGAAGCTACTCGTATCACGGCCCTATGTATTCACCTCAGCCAATTCACCAACATAGAATATGTCAGGGCGGCAAGCGGGAACAGCAGGATTCTCAAAGCAAAGAAACTTACCGATGAAGTACACTAGGTACGTCTACGTTCTTCCACGAGCCCTCCCCTTTCCGCAGTTTCATATCGCGAGCTGAGCATGGGGCAAAACGACAAGCCTAACACTTCGACGAAGCCCACGACTTATAGCCATGAGCTTATGCCGAAAGACGGATGGCGTACAGTCACCCGCGCTCGAGTGCTATCACCCTGAGAGAATCTAATCATCGTCGGTATACTTTGTGGGGGAACAGTCATTTTCATTGTGGTCAGGTGGACCAGCCGGGCAAACTTACACAACCACAACCACCAAGATGTGTCACATATACGCCTCCAAACAAAAGACAGCAATCTTGGGGGAAGTCTTGTGATGAGCGGCAATAAAGGAGGGGTATATCTCAGGCATTCGGAGTGGGTACCTCTCTTTTATCCGGTCCGGTCCAACTGACCCTCCTGGTCACTCTACTATAAGAATAAACTGCGGCGCAGAGTCCATGAGGCGGGTGTACACCCTAGGGGGCTCGGTAGCATCCATCTCACCTACAACAAGATGAGTGTCCTCGGAGGCCGCGTGCCCCGGAGCCTCCAGACAATCACCGCCTCGGCAACCTTGCCAAGATATATCTGCACAGTATACCCCAAGGTTAGCCGTAGCAGTTCACCCTGATTTGCTATCACGATAACAACATCCACGGGCTCCAGCCAAACTTCCTCTTCCATATCCACATAATTCACAACATCCTCGTGCAACCATCGCGTCCACATCTTACAACCACAATCGCCTCGAACAAAAAGATGTGCAGATACGTAATTTACATAGTCCCTTGCCACCACCGGTTCTACATTCTCGATGAGATCTGCAATCGGGTCGGGTCCAAAATCTGGTGCTGGAACGGCCACAGGGCCGAGACGGTGCCGATATCTTGCACGGAGCGCAAATGGTGGAGGCGCCGCCAGCAGCAGGAGGCGACGGAGGCGTAACCAGTAAGCATGACCGGGGCCTTAATAGAAATGCCAGCTAGCTAACACAGCCCAGGGCCATAGATGCGGATTCGAGCTGCGCGGCGATGGCAACGGTGGCGGACGATAACAACGGCGGCGGACGAGTACGAAATGTGGAAAATGTTGTGAGGCAAGTGGAGACTCCATAGGACCGGGAGTTAGAGTAGATGCTGCTTTCCAGTATTAGCAGAATCAATTCCTAACCGCCATCCTCATCAACTCCCGCATGTGAACTGTTGACTGTGTTTCGCCTTGAAATGATAGTTTGGTGGTCGCTGAGCGTTAAACCATATCTCCGTCTTGCGCAAGTACATCTGCACATCGATCGCTCTGGGATTAAGGTGGCCAAAAGTTCGATGTCGATTCCGTCGCATAAGACTAGCGGCGCGAAAGGGGCGACAAAATGGAGCGCTCACCAGCGCACCAGCGCGTCATGGCTTAGTTCTAGCTCTAGTGGTCGTGGTGGTCCAGTCAAGCTTTTGGGTCGTAAAGTAGAGTACGGTACTGCGTAGAGCCAATCCCAGCACATTCCGACGGCCATGGCTCGGACCACCACCTCAAGAAAAAGCAACAGCCGGCTCAACAGATGATGAAAAGGCAAGGTCCCGTCTCCAAACTCAATCCCGCTAAGGGACTTTGTCTGAAGTCAAAAAAAACTCTCCCGCCGGGAATCGAACCCGGGCCGTCCGCGTGACAAGCGGAAATCATGACCACTAGACTACGGAAGATGGGCGAGCTGTGCTCGTCGTAGCGTGGTGAAAGGCGGCGGCAAAAATGGGTTTATATACAGAGAACTTATGTGGTCGCTGACACTTCGAGAGAAGGCTGGCAGGTCACAATGGCCAAAATCCTACGTGAGATTACACTACGTTCCTTATGACACTAATTTGAATACAAAGCAGATGCATATATGCTAGCAGACTAAAGGACAGGGTATGCCGCGCATTCATTCAGTCGTCCACCCGCTCCCATCAAACAATCGTGATCTCGCGCCGCAGCATTCCAGCATCAGTATGATACGCTTCCTGCTCAGGCAGCGGATCATACATAATAGGATGCCGATGCGCTTTCCCATCCGCCAACCCGTGTGGCCGAATCCGTCCCCGGAGCGTCATCCGCTTCCCCAGTTGCTCCCACGACGGCTTCCTTAGCTCAAGATCCTCGGCGCAGTCGTACCCGAACCACGCACAGTCGTAGATCTCCGCATACCCAACCCGCCGGAATTCGTCATCTTTTTCTGTAGGGAGCACTGCGAGTGCATGGACAATCTGCCGGTACACGCCGCGGCGGTTGAGTTTCGGCGTTGTGGCTATCGCGACGAACGTCACTGGTGTCTGGGGCGAGATCATCTCGTCCGGCATCCATTGTCCGGGTACGGCACAGACTGAGGAGCGGAATCGCGGCGCCTTGCTGGTAAGGAGGAGCATTGTGTCCAGGTCCATCAGGCGGACGGGTACCTTCCGGTCAGGCGCATTGTAGCGCAGGCCTTTGCCCTCGAAGAGTCGAACCGCCTCGGCGACTATACCGGGGTCTTGATTGTGGACATGCATGATACGGGTATCTGCGCGGAGGGTGATGGAGCCTGACGGATCATGGGGATTGTTTGCAGTCGAAAGGTTGACGAGCTCGCACGCCGGATGGACTTTGCTAAATGGGTAAAAGGTGATGCGGTTGGCGAAAGAGGCCCAAGACCAAGACGGAGCTGTAGTGGGAGAAGCCCGTTTGGGGAGGTCCGCTTGCTCATGAATGTGGACCGAGGTGTGCATGGCAGGATTAGGCAAGATGGTGGACTGCAGGTACCAGAGCAACTCGCGATGATAGTGCTCTTTCCACAGCCCGGTGGTGTAGAGGGACTGAATCCTGCCTCCAACCGCCTCGGCAACACCAGCGATTGCCACGAGGCGATCACTGTACTGTGTCAACTCTCTTGCCATGTATTCCTGCACAACACTATGCCACAAGGAACACAGCGTGTCCGAGTCGAAGGTAAAGCAGGCGTTTGAAGTGGAATTGGCACCATGTTCCTCGAAGATGGCAATCTGTATATCTCGTATGTCGCTGCTGTGTCGCATGATTCCTTTTTCAGGATTCCGTTCAGAGCCGTATGTTGTAAGGCACTCCCACCGGAGACAATCGGGGTCAAAAATCAACGTCCGCGGCGACAGAACCAGCTCTTGCAGCGTCCAACCTCGAGAGTAGAGCGGGAGGTCTTGCACATCCCAGGGAACCTCCGGGATCCCCATCGGTATGAACAAGGCGCGCTTTTCTCCGCTTATATACGCAAATGCAACCTCAAACGGCATGATCCGCAAACCGTTTCGCTGTCGGAACAGCCCGCCCATAGAATCCGGAGAATGAGCAGACGCTATTGTGAATGCAGCTTTTTTGTATATATTGCACATTTGAACAGACTCTGCTTGCCAGTCCTCCTTCGAGTCTTGGATGATGCACAAAGAATCTATCCAGAGGTAACGCTCCCTCATGCGGCGGGTGACAAGCACAGCATCGCGAAAGACCTTTGGGATTTCATTTAGGGGAATTCCGTTCATTCGGTCTGCAAGAGTATCGCTTTTTGTGGTGAGGGTTGGCGTTAAGCCCCAACGGTGGCTCAGGGCAACATACGATTTCTGGTATGGCTTGAAATCCGGAGTTCTGGTGTCGACAAGGCGTGGGTCTTCCGTTTCAGAGCCAACATCGATGACCCGTGAAGGAATAAACCCGTCCTTAAACGGCTTGGGACAGTTTTTGTGGCCGGTACAACACTCTTGCATCCAAAAGTCGGCCATACGGAAGCTTGCTTCTGATCCCGTGTTCTCGTTTGGAAGTTGGGCGCATTCTTGAAGTACTTCAGGAAGCCCTTTCTGCACTTACACCTCCATGAGCTTTTATAACTCCTGGAGGTACAAAACATACCGGAATCCGCCCAGCCATAGAACATTCCCGTCGTCCGCGGCTGAAAGAGGGGTTGCCCGCTGATATCGGCGAAGGACGCCCGCAAATTTGGCATATTTTGGTCGGGCTTCAGTTCCAGAGTAACCGTTGATTCATCCGTCAGCTTCTCTACCTCGTGCGGCCAGAGGCTGTGCCAGATGTTCAAGCATATCAAACATCGTGCCTCAGCACATCGCTTGAGCTCATCAGCATGATGGAGGGAGAACGAAAAATTTGGCCAAACGAAGGGCTCCCCGGGTTTCTGATCAGAGGAAGACAGAGCTTGCGCCGCAAATTCTTGACATTTGCGGCAGAGCATGATGTCATGGTGAGTCCATAAGTTTCAAGAGGAGGAAGGGGGGAAATGGAGTCGCTAAAGAGGGGGGGGCTTGATGCGGCCGGCTTCACGTTGAACCGTCCGGACTGTGGCGCAGCAGGAAGGCTGTGAGCCGACAAGGCGATATCACGTGCATCACCCGGCTGAATGTCGTGAACTCTTCATTTCGAGCACTTTGCTGAGAAACAACGTTATGACTAGTGCAACTGAAGCAAAATACTGAGTTGAGAATGAATAGATGGCACAGACAGTCTTCAATCAGGTCGCAAGTGCGGAGCATGCCTTCCGTCGCAGCGCTGTTCAAATCTCCTTCCAAGTTCCTGGGCGACACTCGAGCTTCCTGGACTCTACAACGTCAACGCGTCAGCGCTTGCTCAGGTTTGAGGCGATCCGAGTTTTCCCGGGCGACTGGAATTCTGTGGGGATCTTGATATGCTCTCGATCCCTCAAATGGCGCACGGCTTAAACTCTATGGTTCGTGTGGAGCATATGGCAGGAGAACAAAGGCGAAGGACGTCGAAAGTTCGGTTGACGCAAGAGGGCGCAATTGCCTAGACTTTTAATATGGCTTGTCAGCCTTCTTCATCCTTCCCGGTCTTTGACCACTCAAGTTCTACCAGGGTCTCCCGGGTCGGTTCGCCCCGTCCCTGGTCTTAAAACTCCCGAGTAAACGGCAGCTAACCTCATTTGGAAATCACTGCCAATAAGGCTGGTTCGGCACAGGGCGACGGAGTGCGTACGCTCACCTGCTGCTGGACTAATCGTCCCTTATTTCGTTTCCTGGATAAGTGCATATGGGGCATCTTTTACGTCCAGCTATCAAAGAACGTGGAAAACTTGGTTGGTTATATAGCAGCTTCATCTACGACGAGGAGCCAACTTAACGTGTTATCAGCCTCAATCAGGTCCGCCTGTTCCCGATCGGGAAAAGGTCAACGGCAAACCAAGCGGCACCATCTACGAACTATTACTTAGCCAATGTCCCCACATTATGTGTGGACGGTAAACGAAGAGCGATACTGGGTAGGTCATTTAGGGTGCCTCAATGTTCGGCGATCGTGCAGCATCAAAGATCGGCGCAATATGGGATAGATTAAGGCACATAACGCCCAAGAACGATGCACATATTGCACTTCTACCTACAGATCGGGTCACCTTTTCCGCTCTTTAGAGCGAATGCGTAATCGAATCAATACCATATGACAATCGCAGCGGCATCCAAACCGGAAAGCCCCTCCCGTCTATATCAACCTCCGACGACGCCCCCCCATCTGAAACCCATCCTTTGCCGATCTCTATCCGCACAATCGCTCGCAATCATGCGTTCCACTCTTTTCTTCCTCGCCGCCGCGGGCTCCACCCTCGCTCAAGCCCCCGCCTGCGCCCCGCTCCACGTCGTCTACGGTCCGTCCCGCCGCCCCACTCCCTACCCCGCTAACCCCGCACAGCACGCGCCACAACCGAGCCCCCACAAGCCATCGGCAACGGCAGCGCCGCGGCCTTCGAGGCCGCTGCGGCCGCAGTCTGGTCGCGCGGCTACGGCGCCGCTGGCTTCTCTTTCCTCGGCAACCTGACGTCCCTGGTGCCCGGCACAACGGGCTACCCAGTTCACTACCCCGCCAACTTCCAGCTGAATGCCAGCGCACCGCGCGGCGTGGCGGATATGATCGCCCATCTGGAGGCGCAGGCGAAGGCGTGTCCGAAGCAGCTCTTTGCCCTGGGCGGGCATAGCCAGGGCGCGGGCGTCACGGTGGCGGCGGTGCCGAAGATTCCGGCGAATATTTTGAGCCGCGTGGTTGCGGTTGCCATGTTTGGCGGGCCGGCGTGTCCCGCCTCCGTGGCATCGAAATGCAAGTCGTACTGCAATACTGGTGATACGGTGAGTAAGCTTCAGGCGGGAAGGATATAGCTAATCGGAACAGATCTGCGATCGCAGCTCCAATTCCACCACCCTCAATCTGGGCGCTCTGGCCAAGGGCATGGGTGGTGCAAAGGGCGCCGGCGGGCTTGCCGACGGGCTCGGCGGCTTCAAGGGCTTCGGTGGCTTCAAGGGCACCCCGAGGTTTCCGAAGGGTGTGAACGGCACCGCCATTGGCAGCATCGTCCTGCCGAAGGGCAAGGGCTTCAATGCCACTATGATTTTCCCCAAGGGTTTCAATGTCTCCTCGATCTTCCCCAAGGGTCTGCCGAAGGGCCTGAATATCACTCGCCCGGCGCCGAAGGTGGTGCCCGCGCGTCCGGCCGGGAAGGGCGCCTTTGTGGACCTCGTGGGCATTGAGGAGGCGGATGAGTGCCCCGCGGTGGACATTGCGGAGAAGGGCCACACTCCCAAGTCATACCCGCCTGAATCGGCGCACACGGTTTATAACAAGGACGGCTATTACATCAAGGCGGCGGCGTGCTTCGTTGCCAAGCAGTATAAAGCAGCTGCGGGGACCAAGTGATGGGCAGACTAGGTCG